ATGGTACCAGGTCAAGTAACTGAGCGAGAAGGCTTGCGCATGGTACCAGGCCGAATGGAAGATGATGACGACGATGACGATGATGATGATATTGATAGCAATCTGCGTGGTTCATCAAGGAATGCATCCCGTGTTCCTTCCCGAGATCAAAATACGGAGCATGCTCCAAATTTAAGACGCATGATTCCTGGCCAAACTGATTCACAGGAGGAGGATGAGGAATTACCTAACATTTCCATAGGACCTGGTGATCTTCCTCCTGGGCTCCACAGAATGGTCCCTGGTGAGTCAAGCAGCCCTGAGTCTCTAGCTAATCCCACAGGTGCTGCACAGAACAGCCAAATTATTTCCGCCTTCCAACCAATTGAGCCTTGTGAGCAACGTGTTGTTACTGGTGTGTCAATGGAATCCATGCCCCTACCAGTTTCTGCACCAGCACAGCAGGGTACAGTGATGTTCTTGCAATGCATGCACCTTTTTCTAACACTTGTGTTCTTTTCCCTTCTTCTAATTGAATGAACTTTTGTTTTTATGTATGTAACAGCTATCAAACTAGAGCCAGTCAGTTCTTCCCCTGAGCATGTTCATTCAAGTAGAAACCCTGGAAGCGCTCAGCCGCCTAGTGAACGAAGTGAGACTATAGGATCAGATGGAGTAGATGACAAAACAGCTGATAACACCACCAAGAAAAGGTATTTCTGGGTAACATTTCCATATTGCAATCTCACTAGTAAAATGTGTAATCCACTAATCCAGTATGTGTTTCCATGTCAGTGACAGGCGGGCAAGGGATGATGTGGACAGTGAAGGTCGTGACCGTGACCGCGACCGTGAACGGGACGATAGAGACCCCCGAGGTAGGGACTACTATCGCAGGGATCGCGAGGACGAGAGGGAACGCAGCTTGTCTCCAAGTGACAGCGGCAGCAACCGGTACCGTGACGACCGGGACCGTGATCGTGAACGTGACCGTGACCGGCGTTACGACTCTCCAGAAGGGCCATCCCGTTACCGGGCCGATCGTGATCGTACGACCAGAGAAAAAGATGTAGAGTATGATTCAGAACGCCGGTATCGGTCGTCAAAACGTGATGGCCAGGTGGACAAATCCAGAAGAGGGTAAGTAATATCATGCACAAGACTTGGACCGCCTACAACATGCTTTCTCACAAATCAAAAGCAGTAGAAGCTCAAAAAATAAAAATAAAAATATACTGTGTTTTTGATGCTTCTGTGCATCTATGGGAGTGAAATGTTTCATTTTGTTGTATTTTTACTTTCTGTATAGATACAACCGGGAAGAGGATGAGGCTGATAGTGATGAGTATGGAAGTGAGCGAGAAAACAGGAAGTGGAACCGTGATAGAGATGTCGACAGAGATTTGGACAGAGATCGAAACAGAGATGCTGATCGCGACAGAGACCGTGACAGGGACAGATTCCGTGAACGTGACAGGTACCGCGAGGGGTACCGAGACAGGGACAGGGACCGTGAACGTGACCGCGACCGTGACCGAGGAGATAGGTCATATGGAGATGACTATTATCGGCGAGGAGAAAGGCGTGTGCGAGATGATCCTGATAAAAGTCGGAGGTACGTTCTGCCAACTTTGCTTCAGCTGCAGTTAGTTGTAATAACATGGCCCTTATTGATATTTTTAAAATGTTTTTGGTGTCAGGAGTGGAGGCCGTCGTTCTGATGACTTCCACGGCTATGATGATGAGTACTACAGGGACAGGAGGTATGTTTCTCCCAGTACACTTAACTACCTGCAAAGTTTTTTTAAAAAGTTTTTTTTGGGGGGCCGTGTTTTCTAACAGCTATTTTTATTTATTAGGTCATCTAGGCCATCATCCAGATCAGGTTCTGTTCATGAATACAGCCATGCTTATGAACGAGACTACAGAGAAAATCGACATGATCGTTCAAGTGATAGACATGCTAAGCACAGTCAGCACAACTATCCTGGTGGTACGGAAATAGTACAATATTAAATGTTACAAAGTCTTTCCTAAATTAAAAGAGTATTAATCCTTAAAATTTAATCTACATACCTTTTTAATTCTCTCAGGTTATTACTACAATCCTCAAGAATATTACCGATATCAAATGTACTATGCCAATTTAAGAAAAACAGACCCAGAGGCTTATGCAGCCTGGTATAGGAAGTATTACAGTCAGTATGCTGCTTCTCAACCAGGGACATATGAAGATCGTGGAAGTTTACACTCAGGCCGTAGCTCTGCCAATGAAGAACTTAATAATCAAAGGTGAGGACATTTGTAGCCCAGCAGGTTCCTCCTTTCTCAGATCCACATCCTCTTCTCCAGATGTGATTTATATGTTCCCATGTGCTATGAGTTTCAGGTTTGACAGACATAGATCACCAAATAGATCTCAGACCTATCATCTCAAAAGTCCTCAAACTTCAAGCTCTAATCGTTATCAAAGCACTGATAATCCATCACCATTTTCACGGGAAAGTGGGCGGTGAGATTCTTCCTTAGATTTTTTAATAGCTGTAGATATGTAGATTCTTTTTTATTTCTTGAAGTAAAACACTAAATCAAGTGATGTAGGAAAAATAGTCTCTCTGGCCACTAGAAATATGTAGCTTTATTGCTCATGTCTTCAAGTATCTATTTAGGCATCTCCATCCCTATTGAAGTAGTTTAGGGTGTTTGTTCCATTTTAAAAAACTTGTTTTATTGTATGTCTATTTGTGTATTTTTACTTTGTCTGTTTCCTCAGGTTTGCTTCTAACTTTGTCAATACTTTTTCCTCTACCAATCTTTATTTACATCTATTTTTCATTTTTTTTACATGTGCTATGTCTGCAGGGGAGTTGGGCATGGAGAAAGCTCTTTGGATGAAACAAACTCTTCCATTCAGAGGTTGACTCCATTTAAATTTTCAACAGCGCACATAAAAGGTGCTTTGTAATTATTTTCAAAATGTTATAATGTTAGAAATTTGTGATGATCTTCTAGTACTGATCTTACTGATTTTCAGGCATTTTGACAAGGCGAGGACAGTTGCTGAAAGTGCTTCCACACTATCCTCTTGATGGTCAATCTGCATCAATAGAAGTCCATAGTTTGCAGTCGTTGATCCCACAGGATGCAAGTCTACAGGAACTGCTTGCACTTCCTGGCCCACTTGTTCGAGGAGTTACTCACAAAAAGACAATAATATTATACTTGCGCTCAAAAATGGAGGCTACTCGAACTGATCCTTCAGTTTACGACCGACAATCTGTCATTCTTCTGTATGAACTTCTTATCCTGTTATTAAAACAAAATGGGGTATAAATATTTTTTTTCTAACCTTCCAACTATCTATTTTACATGATTGGTTTTTTTTCATTTTTCTTGTTTTTACACGAGAATAACTTTTGATGTCCTTTATTGTAGATGATTGTGGGTACAGATATTGCGGAACTTCTGTTGCGCAACGGAGAAAGCTCAGATGCCGATGACAGTTGGTCCGCATCAGGTGGGCCTGACCCACGTGCCCAATCAACTCCGTCTCCTGCACCTAGCGGAGGAAGTCGTACAAGCTCAGCAAGTGCCACTCCTGCTGCTCAGTTTATGAATGTGTCTATTAGTCAACAGTCAAAGCTTTCAGAATCTGAAATAACCAACAAATTTCGAGAATTCTTGCTCTATGGAAATACTAAGGAAGCTCTTGGTGAGTTGAGTTCTTGTGTTTGGTTTTGGTCTGTGTGATAACTTGAATGAAGAAACAAGGCCAATACCTTGCACCTGCTATATTTTTAAAATATTGCTATCTGTGTTTCAGAATGGGCCATGAAGCATGGTCTGTGGGGTCATGCTCTTTTCCTTTCATCCAAGCTTGATCAGCGCATGTACCACAGCGTAATGACTCGTTTTGCCAATGGCCTTGCCTTGACTGACCCTATTCAAACACTGTACCAACTGTTATCTGGCTGGCAGCCTGCTGCTGTGACTGTGAGTGAAGCATTAAAGACAGTTACTTCATTACATACTGTATTAAGTTGTCTATTTCTATTGATTTATTATCTACTTTGACAGTGTGTTGCTGATGATAAATGGGGTGATTGGAGGCCACATTTAGCTATGATACTTAGTAATACTTCATCTCGGCCTGAAATTGATCATAAAGCTATCATGACCTTAGGAGATACGCTAAGTAAGATCATATCTACATACTTTTTTGGCGCTTTCTTTCACATTCCGTCTTTTATTCATTTATTTAAAATTATTATTACCGTCATTAATATTATTACTGTTCCATTTCTAGGTACTCGAGGATGTCTCCATGCAGCTCACTTCTGCTACTTGATGGCACAACATCCATTTGGAACTTTCTCTCAAAGATCATCAAAGTATGTGCTTCTTGGGTCATCTCATCTCCGGCCCTTTACTGAATTTGCTTCAACTGAGGCCATAATGATTACATCTATCTATGAGTATGCTCGGTCCTTGGCTGATCCTAGTTTTCATGTTCCCAATCTCCAAGTAAGTACTCTATTTTTTTATTTTTTTTTATCTTTTTAAAGAATATGTTGGTGATTTTTTTTGGTGTTGTTTTTCTATATTTTTCTATCGTTTTTCAGCCCTACAAGTATCTAATGGCAACTAGGCTTGTTGAAGCCAATATGCTTCCTGAGGCAGTTCATTACTGTGAAGTAATGTCCAGACTTGTTGTTCAGAATCCACATCAGTATGACTCAGGGTTCATTCATGATATTGCAGAACTTGGTGAAAGACTGAAGTTTCATGACCCTTATTATTCTACTGGTGGTGACTTGAGTGCTCAAGGGAACCCTGACTGGCTTCTTCAAATCAGTTCCATATCTAATGAGGGCAATGTAAGTACAACTTTTCCTCTTGTGTTTGTGCTTTGCCTTCTCTGCCAGTGCTTGGTACTGCTAAGAAGCTTCTACAGAACTAACTGCCATGTTTCATTCTGCAATTTTTGTATTGAACTGTATCATCTGTAATAATGTCTACTGGTTTGTTGTCACAATTTTATTGGGGTTTTTCTTTTCAGGTTGAGGTCTCACACTCAAATATTGCTAATTATAATGAATCTTTCACAAGTGCATCATCTGGCATGATACAGAGTGATTCTGTGCATGATCAAACCTTAACTAGCTCACATTCCATGGTAATATTTTTATCATTTCACCTGTAGAACATTATCATCCCTCTAAGTTTATCAAAATATTTCTGGATCTGTAGTAGTGGTTTGTTTGTAATTCATTTATTCTTCTTATCAGGGCAATTTTTCATACAATCAAGAACCAGCCCATGAGCAAATGTCTACAGAACAGCAGCAAGAGCAGTATTCATTAGATCAGATGCAACAATCAATACCTCAAACAGAGCAAATTCAGCAGCAGCAGATGTCCTATTATTATGCAGAACAACATACCTGGAGTGCTCAGGGAGGAGAGCAACCACAAGCAGTAGACCCCAGTTCTTACAGTGCAGATGGTTAGTGCCGTTAGCATTATCAGTGTTGAAATGTGATGAAAGTATTTTCTCTACCTTTAATCAATCTAATTGATACTGTCTTTACTTTTCTAGGATACGGTCCAGTGGAGACTGATCAAAGTGGCTGGTGGAGTGGACAGCAGGAAGAGATGCCCAGTGTAAACACGGAGTCCCATGCACCAGTTATGTCAAGCCAAAATAATTTGGAGGTAAGAAAATGATTTCTAGTTAGACTATTATTGTTCAATGACTTCAGATTAAGGTTTTTACAAAACAGTCTTGAAGTCTCATATAATTGCCAAGTCCCGATTCTGTGAATCTCAAGTGTCATGAATTAGTCAGAAAACTTTTATCTTAAACTGGCTTTCCTCTTTTCATCCCTCATCTACATTGGTATTTCTACTATGTGGGATCCCCATACATCATAATTATTTTTCTCCACAATGATTTTTCAACCTAAATTTTTTATTATGAAGTTTTGCATGATATTCATCAACATTTTAGATGAAACTCATTTTCATTTTTTTGTCTTTTTTCTTCTCTATTGCTTCATGTTGGACAATAGTATGAGGCAAAAGCCTCCAAGCCTGTAAGTACAAAGAACACTATATCCATCCGTAACATGAATGTATCTGACTGCTATGAAGATGACCTCCTGTCTTTTGCTTTGAAAACTCCAAAAATTAAATCGGAATTTCGTACTACTGAAAAGCAAGGGCACCTCATGAAGCCAAGTGCTTTGCGTGTTCGCAAGCCAGAAATCATAATGAATACAGTGGAAGCATGGAGCAAGGATTATAATGGGAAATTACTTCGAAATTTAAAACATGGAGAAATATGGCGAAGTCGCAGTGAAGCACGCCCACTTGTATTTGGTGGAACTTATCCAATCGATGAACCTATACATCGAAAGGGCTATCAAGAACCTGCTAGGAAGACTGATTATACTGCCTACTTTGAGCCAAATTCATTTCCTATTGACCAGCCAATACATAACTTAGCGAATTGGAATTCTGAGAATATTAAACGCCGTTCAGTTAACAGCAATGAGTTCAGAAGAGAGGAAGAATTTAGTGACACAGACATTACAGATAGTGAGGAGTGTTATCATGTTAAAGATGAATAAATAGGATTCTCACCTTTGTTTCTGCTCTTTTAAAGACACAGTTTGGGATCAGCATAAGAATATTTTTAACAATGTTCTATACTTGTGTCTTTTAACTTAGACATAAAAGAAAATGAAAATCATTTAACAAGGTGTATTGTAAATACCACAAATTTGTGACTGTTTGACTGTGATGTTTCAACAGGAGCTCATCTTCATTGCCTA